AACTCACTTATAAAATATCACCACTGCCTTATGAATGTAAAATCAAAGTATACATAAAATTGCACTCCAGTTATTTTAAGCACACAGGGATATAGTCATAAAACTTGCCAAACTGAGTAGAATAGTAACTCGCCACATCAATGAGTTTGAAACCTGGAACACAAAGAACAGAATAACACCACCCCCCCCCCCCCACACACTCACACCCCCACACACCCACCCCCACACACACAGCCACACCCCCCCACACCTCCACCTACACACCCGCACACACCTCCCCCCCCACACACACATCCACATACCTCCCCACACATACCCCCACAGACACCAACCCCCCCTCGCACACACACACACCACACACCCACCTCACCCTCCGAGATAATACAAACCCTAAGCTGTATCCAACACTCAATGGGAAAGTGATTGAGTTCCTTCAGGGGGTGGCCTGTCCCTAGTTCTGTTTTTTACATATTACATAAGGAAATGTATTCAGATTACATCCATAGATTTTTACTTTTATGAAAAGGGTTTGGCACATTTATGCCTCTTATGAGAATTGAAATGCTCACAGGAGATTTTAGCCTTGTACTGTACAAACGTATTGGGCCAACTCTTTCAGCCTATGACATCTGCTGTCACCCAATCTCAACCAGCATTCTCGGCAGCTTCAGACACATTTGCAGCTAATATATTCCACATTCTGGGATGAGGAGTGAAATGCAGTACTTTGCTGGGTTTAAGCCTGAACATCTAAAGGGACATCTGAAGTGAAGGAATAGGAATTTGAATTGAATTTTAAGAAGTGAACAATTAGCTTGAAAGGATCTTAACGGTTACATCAGCGTTTCTACAGACAGCGGAGGGAGTCGGGAGAGGAATCACCAATAACTTGCAAGAGAGTTCATTTGCATAGTTACTTGGCAACTCAACCTGAAGGAGAACAAGTGAAATGGATCAACCAAACATAACCCCCCCCCTCCCTCTCCCCCAAAGTGATGAGGAGGGCCTCTGAAATACGCTACCATCTCCAGTGGTTTGAATATATTTAATGTGGGTTTTTTTTTAAAAACAAAAAAAGCTTAAATGGAAAAATATTTTATGCCTGGATTAGGATTTTGTATTTAAGTGTTATACTTGGAACAGAAATGATACACAAAAGGAAGTGGTTTTGTACATTGGAATTCTGTAATTGGATCAGGTTTGCGTTGATCTGGATTCTGCTGTAATAAAACATTGACTTGGGTTTAAAAAATAAAACACTATTGACAATTGTTATAAAATCCCCAAATAGAAATCAATTACCATCTTAATGCACCGCCTTCTGGTACAACTGTACTTTATGTTTTACAACAACAATTGCATTTACACAGTGCCCCTCACGCAGCTTAGAGTCCCTGAGCACTACACTGAGCCGGGGGAGAGGTGGGGAGGGCGGGGAAGGAGATGCTAATAGTGCTAATCCTGAATTCGCTGCTGTTACCTGTATCAATGTGGCTCTAACCCACCATCACTGATCCAAGTCTGACCCAGAAGATTGCCACCCAGACACTAGTACAAGTGTTATCTCCATTACCGCTGCTGCCATTGCAACCAAACATCTGGCCCAAGGTTGGAAACACTCAATTCACCATCACCTTTGCTCTCAGACATGCCAGTCTCTTCTTCAAATCTTATGCACAACCACTTTATCCTGATCAACAAATTTGAGGCATTCTGGTCACATTGATGGTTCCAGCCCTGGCATTTTGGAGCTTCCACCGGTTTGAGTTTTGAGTACATTTTGGAACTTGGAAATTAATAAGAGATAGAGATGGCGACACGATATGCAATTATTCACTCTCTCTCTAGTCATATGTCATGGATAAGAGTGATACAGAAATGTCCTGTGGTTTCAAGTGGTAGAACAGGACACATAGATTTAAACAAAACCCCTCATGGTTTATAGTAGGTATCTAACAATGAGGAAGTACACATGTTGCCATAAGAGTTTTATAATTCATCCATTAGAAAATCGCTCATGTCAAACTGGTTGAGATCACACACTCCAGAAAGAGTCGGGGTTTGTTTGTAAGGCAATTGAGAATCTTGGTTCACACAGAGAAATCTCAGGTGGAATTCTCCCAGACAATTCACCTCAAAGCACCGAGTCCACATTATCTTTCAGCTGATCTCGCTAAGCCAGGAATGCTCGCTCAATATCTGGACACAATTTAACATCCTTCTTCTCAACAGGCTACAACAGAACTGCAATCCAACTGCTAGGCATTTGATTATGTCTCAATTAGTTTGTGCATTGCATCTGCAAAGGTTCCACAGTGTTTCACAGAAAGGGACACAGTTATGGCAGGTGTCAAACTATGATATTCACCACTTTGTTTGATAATTACCAGATTCCTCCCCTGACTGGGCTGGAAGGCACATCTGGGGAGCAGATGCACAAAGGAAACATGTTATTATCAATAGGCAAATAAGCAGACTGCAGTTGACAGTAGGGTGTGTCTGTCTCTCTCCTGTGTTTCCATCTTCAAATACAAGGTCATTCAGTCCGAGAAATCAACTGAGGGTTGGGGAAATATGTCATGAAGATTAATGCAGAACCCGAAAATATTTGTTTTGGCCTAGGATCCAGTAATAATACTGAACTCTGACAAATGACCTCACAGCCCGGCCTAGTGGGCTTCAGTGTGAAGTGGCAGATTGGTAGTCATTCCATAACAGAATTGCACCTCTTTAACACAGGAGAAATGTACTGGATTTCCTGCTCCGGTGATTATGGCATGAAGACAGTGACAAGGTAAACAGCTGGAAGCCTTCACTCTTTTACCACCTTGACCTCCATGGTTTTTACAAACACTCTATTGAGTATAATTTCTCCACACCAGGTATTGCTGACTACACTGTCTCTCTCAAGCCGCCTCTCGCAACCGAAGGAGTTTCCCAAACTTGCTCGTTGGGGATTTATTTGCTCTCTCAGATGGAGGAAGCGACTGGGTGACCAGCCATCATTTTACCCACACATGGCAACCTGGTTTAGTGAAAGAGAAGGGGGTTGTGTTACAAGCAGAAGCATGTTCCTGCTATGTGCACGGTTTACTGTAGCTGTCAGAAAGCTAACTATTCAGAAGCCTTACCATAAATGGTATCATGTTCTAGGAAGAGATTTAAATCCCTGTCCCATCATATTAAGGCACACGGTTATAAATAACATTTCTAATGGCCCTGGTATCGCTTTGAAAGTCGAACCAACTGTTTGCCGTGAGCTTTAATCTTTTATTTCTCTCCTATCTGCAAAGTTTATATTTCTGGGTAAATAATGGGAACATACATTTCACATATCGGCATGAATTCTACTCAATTTGACATGGTAACAGGGCTCGGTTGTCTGAACTTCTCCTAAATTCCTGCTTAATGTTTTCTCTGAATAATACCATGTGGCTCAAGGAATTGCCTTCTCGTTTTCACTCCTTGCTCTACATGAACCTGAAGTGGAATGTTGGATGCCCCATGTGGATGCACTGTCTTTATCTCCCGGTGTTCAGACAGAGATGAGACATCCGGTCATCATTTAATTTTAAAGACAATAATAAATAATAGTCCTTGCCTTTGATGTAGCGCTTCACAGGATTTACTGTAGGGTAAATGCAGTGACTGTATTTTGTAAGCAAATAGATTTTTTGCACTGAAGAACATGTGTGTATGGTTTCGCCCACAAAACACGCAGTCACTACACTTTACAGTATATTCTGTGAATCCCTTTGAGACGTCTTGAAGACGTGATAAGGTGCTATATCAAATGTAAGGATTATTATTATTTGTATTATTATTATCACACTACCTGTTAGGGCTTTGGTTGCAAGGTTAACAGGAGCTGAGTGGGAAGAATCTTTGTTCCCAGTGACTTCTCTTCTCTTCCAAGTCCTTTCATTTCTGCTTTGGCCTTTGACGTTGATGGTCTTTGGTGGAAACCAAGTGTATCTGAATGGGAGCCATTCCTCTTTGCTTCTACCTCCTCTATTTTAGAGACATCAAAACATTTTATCCAAGTAGCAAATGAACTCTGTACTATTTGTGCAATTTCTTTTTGAACTGGATTTGTGCGGATTTCAATTCCACGGGATTAAATAATTAGGAGATAGTCTTAAGTGACAACCAATGGTCGGTTGTGGACGGCAAAATGCCGAACAAACAACATATTTGCTTTTATCAAATCTTCAAATGTTACCGAGGAACAGAACCACATACACACGACCATTTCATCTGCATCGATTCAAATTCTGGGGAACTTCAATACACTTAAACCCAGTGAATACACAGTGACTTATCTTTACAGAACAACAACAACAAAATGACATTTGTATAGACCCTCTTTGTGAAGCGCTCTGAGACACAGCGCGATATCAAACACAGTAATTATTATTATAAACATAATAACAGCAATCCTTGCCATTGATGTGGCATCCATGGCGTCTTAAGAGTGTTCACATGTAATATAACCAAAAGGCGGAGAATAATAATAATAATAATCCTTGCATTTGATATTATCAGGTCTTCGAGACGTCTCAAAGCGCTCACAGAATAGACTGTAAAGTGAATTGACTGTGTATTTTGTGGGCGAAACGCGGCAGCCGACTGCGCACAGCAGCGTCCCCACACACAGCCGTGGGTTGAGTGGCCGTATTATTATTATTTTTTTTGAAGGTATTATTGATGTGTATTTAACTGGTTCAATTTCCAGTCTCAAGTTTCTTGCTGTGGATAAATCCTACAGCTTGGTGTCTTCAATAAAGACCACGACATGTCTCCATTCTGGACTAGCCTCTGACCACTTACTTGTAACTTCCTTTATTTCAGGCTGCGTGGCTTCGCTCAGCCCTCGGTGACTTGTATTCTATAATCACAAGGATGCTTGGAGTGTTTCCTGTAAATTACACACTTCAGATGTCCAGACAACGAGACATCCTGTTTGACTGAACTTCTATTTTGCCTCCTACGCAGGTCTTTAGCCATGAATCCCATTCAGATTCCTGAGGTGTACATTATCGGAGCCCAGCCCCTGTGCAGCCAGCTGGCTGGACTCTCTCAAGGCCAGAAGAAGCTTTGCCAGTTGTACCAGGATCACATGCAGTATATCGGGGAAGGAGCCAAAACGGGCATCAAGGAATGTCAACATCAGTTTAGACACCGGCGGTGGAACTGCAGCACCGTCGACAACACATCAGTATTTGGCCGAGTCATGCAAATCGGTACGTTTGTCAATTACTGTGGGTGTGTGTGTGTGTGTGTCTGTGTGTGTGTCTGTCTGTCTGTGTGTGTGTGTGTGTCTGTGTGTGTGTCTGTGTGTGTCTGTGTGTGTGTCTGTGTGTCTGTCTGTCTGTGTGTGTGTGTCTGTCTGTCTGTGTGTGTGTGTGTCTGTCTGTCTGTGTGTGTGTGTGTGTCTGTGTGTGTGTGTGTTTGTGTTCGGGGGTTTGGGGACAGGGGTGAACAGTGACAACGGGCTTTATTTCTGTTCTATTGCCGGACAGACAAACGCACACTTTGATTAGGAAGGTAATCCTGTGTTTAATAGTCATGATACTATTACTTGCATTTGACACAGCGCCTGATCACGTCTCCGAGACGTCTCAAAGCGCTTCACAGGATACACTGTAAAGAGGGTTGATTGACTGGCACGTGGAGTAAGGAAACTTGCCCAACATTTCGCCCTGACTTGACCCGCCCGGGAATCGAACCCACGTCCTCTCGCTTGTGAGGCGAGTGCTCTAACCCTGAGCTACAGCACTAACACATGTGCAAGTTTGAGTTGATCATTTTCATCCTTTTTGTGAGGGGTTTAACTTTTCCCCTTCTGATCGCTTAATAAGTCCACCCCAGGCTCGGCCCAGGAAACAGTGAAGTGACTGTGCAGCCAACAAGCTGTGTGGGTTCCCTCTGAGGAACGTTCATTATATTTGGGGACTTTTATTTTACATCATCTGATCCTGGAGCAGCTTGGGACTTCCTACCCCTGTCAAAGGCGCTATACAAATGTAATTTTGTATTGTATTTTGTATTGTATGTAGCAGCCTCACTCAGCACCTCAGTACCCCACTGACTGGCACCTTCTCTCTATCGAGGGGAGTTTCTTTTTTAATTGATTTATTTCCTTTGGTGAAAGTAACACTTCTTGACAAGTGGAAAAATTAATCTCGACTTTACTCCTCCCAAGAGGCGAGTAACTTTTCTCTTTTTTTTAAAAAAAAACCCCTCTTTTACAATGCTAGTTGCGTTATATTAGTTGAAGTTAAGTGCCTAAGTTTTTTTTCAATCAAACCTCCCAAACCATTATTTTGTTTCCAAATGGAGTATTGGGCATATCTAACAATTAGTACGGGATAAAGCGGAGAACACTTGCGCAAGGTGATTTTCCAAACAAGATTGCCAAATACTTGCTGCTAAATCTTTTTTCACATTCTCAGTTTCTCTTGGAGAATGTGAAGTTGTCTGAACTTCACGTAGTCTAGTTTGCGCTGTTCTTGCCCCAAAACTCTGGAACTCTCTCCCTCTATCCCTCCCTCCGCCTCGCCCCTTCCTTCCTCTTCGACCGTGCCTACGGTCACCTCTCCCACCAGCCCACGCCCCCGGCCCGGGGTCCTGCTCGGCCACTGTCCAGCTTCCCTGAGTGAGGGGGCGCTGTGTAAATGCAAGTTGCTGTTGTTCTCGCTGCGGTACCAGTGATCAGTTGTAAACCCTGCCTTTGCAAACGGGAATGGAACCTTCACTTGGTGAACTTTTCCATTCAATAAATATGGTTCTTTCGTACTTTTAAGTTTAAAATTATTCTGTAGAGATTGTGCCTGTCATATTACGTCACCTTACATTAGGCTGAGTCTGTCATCCTCCATACAGACAGGTGGGATAACGTGTGGTATGAAAATAACATCCTCTAGCAAGCGTGACTTGTCTGCCTTCATCCATTTGAGAGCCTGTTGTTATTGAGTGTGAGCTGGCTGTGCTCAGTGGTTTACACACTGGGTTTCCGTTTGTCTTTCAATAGTATTCAATTTATAGTAATAATAATCCTTGCATTTGACGCAGAGCCTTATCACACCCTATCACGCCTCAGAGCGCTTCACAGGGTACAATATAAGGTGAATTGACTGCGTGTTTAATGGGCGAAACGCGGCAGCCAATTGCGTACAGCAATGTCCCACAAACGGTTGTGGATTGAGTGACCAAATTATTATTATTATTACCCCAGGAAAAGCGATCCACTAATCAACTAACAACCGGGTTACGACTTATTGCTGGTAAACAGAGGCGTGTGTGTGGGGTAAGGAAACTTGCCCAACGTTTCGCCCTGCCCGGGAATCGAACCCAGGTCCTCTGGCTTGCGAGGCGAGTGCTGTAACCACTGAGCTACAGGGCCCCACAATGGATGCCAAGCTGGTAATCCCCGCGTGAGAAGAGGAAAATTGAAAATTTGACAAATAAAAACAATATTGGGCATTTGGCTGAGCGAAACAGTGCGTTGTGTAGGAGTGGACGTGTGAATGATGAAGGACGCTTGTTTATGATGACCAAAGTATTTACTGTTTCTCTGCAGGAAGCCGAGAGACTGCCTTCACTTATGGGATCTCTGCGGCTGGAGTAGTTCACGCTATCAGCCGTGCCTGCCGTGAGGGGGAGCTGGCCACCTGTGGCTGTAGCCGGGCCGGTCGACCCAAGGACCTCCCTCGTGACTGGCTGTGGGGAGGCTGCGGAGATAACGTGGAGTACGGCTACAGGTTTGCCAAGGAGTTTGTAGATGCCAGGGAGAGGGAGAAGATCTATCAGAAAGGAACGTACGATAGTGCCAGGACCCTCATGAACCTGCACAACAACGAGGCTGGGAGAAGGGTAAACACTTTTATTTATTTTAATTTAGAGATTCTGCTGTACAAACCTCTTCAGTTGATGATCCATGAAAATCCATGAAAATATTTTTGTTCATTTTCTTAATGCAGTTTTTTTTAAACAAAACTTATGCATGTCCTGCGATAATAGCAATAATCCTGGCATTTGATACAGCGCCTCATCACGCCTTCGAGACGTCTCAAAGCGCTTCACAGGATACGCTGTAAAGTGCAGTCACTGTGTGTTTTTGTGAGCGAAACGTGGCAGCCAAATGCGCACGGCAGCGTCCCCTACAAACCGCCGTGGATTGAGTGACCGCATTTTTGTTCATTATTTTGTATTGTTCTGGCACTTGAATTAAAGGTGGCACGGTTGAGGTTTTAAACCAGCAGCCACTTGGCACAACCAGGTGGAACAACTCCCGCTTCTCACACACCAAAAAGCCACGCCTCGGACGGACCGTTGGCAAAGAGGTGAGATCTGTCTCACGTGAAGCAAAACTCTTGAGACCGAGTCAATCTACCGTTCTCTTTCCTCTGGTCTTTGTGACCCATCTCGACGTTACAATCCACCGAAAACCTTCTGAGCGAGCTGCAATGAGAAAAGAAAAGAGAGAAGAGGTTAAAAGATAAGTTGCTCGGGCCACACTACTGAGTTTCTTCACTAAAGTGTTAAGTGTTAGGCTCACGCTCTAGTATTCTATTGTATTATGATCTGCTTTGATATAATGACTCCCAGAGCTGAAGAGTCACGGACTGCACTGGTGGCTGATGAACCCGATGTGAGACAGATGTTGACCACACACGTCGTACGTGGAGTAACTGGATCTCGCCCGTGGTATTTACAATCCGCTTCGGTTGGTGACTGTCCGCTCTGCTCTGCTCGGGCTGCGTGCAATCACTCGGACTCGAGAGCGCTGAACTCCATTGACTCTCCCTCTCCGCCATTCAATCTCCCCTGTTCGCGGCAGCTGGCTCCCATGTGTCCGATGTTGTGCAGCTGGACTTGATGTTGCACAGCACCCACTGGCAACCGAGCAGAGCCTACGATGCAGTCATCGTGACCCGACTTCTCTACGGGCTGTGTGTGAGACCTGGACAACTTGCAGAAGCCACATCAAAGGAGGCTGGAGGAATTCCACCAGCGCAAAGATCCAGAGCATCGTGAGAGTTTCACAGGCAAGACCTGATCTCCCAATGATGAGGCTGTGGTCCAGAGCTAAGAGAACACTGAAGGCAGGAAAGCCACCATCGACTGCTGCCCTGGACTTGCCCACCTTGTCACAATTTCAGGAGCCCATCCCGCTGCACTGCGCTGCTCTTACCGCTAGATTAAACGAGGCAGATGATTTCTTGGCAGTCGACAAGGGGTGCTTCAAGGTGACTTTGAAGCCCCAACCAGCCAGCTGTGCCACATCTTTTTTTTTAAAAAAATAATAATTTGGTCGCTCAATCCACGACTGTTTGTGGGGACGCTGCTGTGCACATTTCGCCACGTTTCGGCCACAAAATATATAGTCAATTCACTCTACACTATATCCTGTGAAGCGCTTTGAGATGTTCCCGAAGATGTCATAAGGCTCTTTATCAAATGCAAGGATTATTATTATTTTTTTGTATTTTTATGAAGGACCACCTTTTTAAGTCCTTAATAAAAATACTTTTTTTAAATCCAGGCAAATGGGGCCATGAGCACTTTGTACTTTGGGGATTGATTGTGTTGGTTATTCCTGAGAAAAGTACAGTGGAGAGACATATAATATAATAATAATACTTGCATTTGATACAGCACCTTATAACGTCTTTTGAGACGTCTCAAAGCGCTTCAAGAATAGACTGCAAAGCGCAGTGACTGTATACATTTTGTGGGTGAAACGCAGCAGCCAATTGGCACAGAGGCGTCCCCACAAACAGCCGTGGATTGATGTGACCAAATTATTATTATTTTATTTTTTGGAGTACTTTATACATGGCTGCAATTACCCATTTATCAGGAGTAAGCACGGCACTCAAATCCCAAATCCTGCCTTAACTCAAACGTCTGTCCATGAATTTTTCTAACAAGTGCTCCGATAGAAACCTCGGGTATCTTTTATACCGTATGAAAGCAAAGACAAAGTGAGTTTTCCCCCACTGTTTTATTCCTCCCTGCGCCCACCCCCTCCCCCCCCCACCACCTCTCCCCCCTCCCTTCCCTCTTCCTAAATTGGAGGCTCCTGCTTTGTTTTAAGGAATGTTCCAGTGTACTGTAACAAGCCCGGGGCGGTGTGCAGGGGTTGAGTAATGCGCTCAGCTGGAAGTATTTAAACTTTTTCTTTTCAGTTGCTGACAGTGTGAGAATAAGTTAAACCAGTCGCAGTGTTCAATGTGAGGTTTTTATTATTTCATGATGTATAGACAACTATTTTAATGACGTCTCTCCTTGTACTCTAGGTATAACAGAATTCCAATTTAACTTGCTGTGTTGATGGTGGTTGTGCGCTTGGAGTTGGAGGGTAGGGGAGAGACCTCTCGGGGGGGTAATAACTAAAAGCAAGCTTGTACATCACTCTGTTAATGATAGTGCTGTGTGTAAGCCAAGGCCTGAAACTCACATCTGATTTCCTTCTGGGATGTTCAAATTGAGAACCAGTCACCGAGAGAGAAATTCCATCATCATAATAACAATAATAATAATAATCCTTGCATTGGATACAGCGCCTCATCACGTCTTCGAGGCATCTCAAAGCGCGTCACAGAATGTACTGCAAAGTGAACTGACTGTGTATTTTGTGGGCAATAGAATAACAAGTTGATGAAAACCAAAGCATTTAGTTCCTCCCTCCACTGACTGCTTCTGACTTCTCCGTAACAGTTTGAAAGCTTCTGAGCCTCAGTTGATTTTGGCCAGAAGTAGATGATAAAATGGCAGAAGCTCTTGGCCAAAACATGTCAGCACTCCAGTTAACAAAAAAAATGCTTAGATTTGTGTACCATCAATTTATAAATAGTTTTCAATTTAGTTTGTCTCCGTATGGCTTATTGTATGCAGACGACTGCCTATAGATCTGATTTGAGATTTTAGTAAGAGAGAATTTAATAGTGAAACAGGATGGTCCATAATTCGAGGCTTATTGGGTGAATTAATGGATCATAATACTTAAAAAAACTATGACTGCAAAAGTAAACTCTTTTGAGTGAATGATTACACCCAGTTACAGTACATTCATTTTTACTATTACGCTTACCAGACCACGTTTCAATTCCAATGGCTCAAGTCAGGCCAGCAGCAATGTTTATTGTGGTCGAAGGGTGGGAGACAGTTATGTGTCTGCACTCTGTCTCTCTTTCTCTCTCTACCACTTCGCTAAGCCATCAAAATATCAAAGGCTCTCAGTCTGTTTTGGGCCTTTCTCAGACTGGGTGGTATATAATGAACATAAGAACATAAGAATCTGCTGGTGAGAGAACACCAACTAGTTTACTTTCCACCATGGCACTATATATCCTACCTATATCTACCTTCTGTAATAATCAATTAAAGGTTAGAATGTAAATGTCTCTAAATGCGACAGAAATGTTGGTGGGCTTCGTGGGTGGGTGGTGGGGGAAGGAAATACTCGGAACACCAGGGACATTTTAACAGTAATGTGCTGAAAACTGTCATCATTCTGCAATGAATTCAGAACATGTAAAATCTCACTGAAGGGCACACGTCTCAATCCCCCAAATGGCCTCGAGTCCACACCCAGTCCTGTTAAATTATGGTTTTAAATCTTGAATGTGTGTGTGTATATATATATATACAATTTATAGTCTTTGCATCTTTACAAGTACGGTTACGTGCATAGCAGTGCTTTGGTTCTGTTACATATCCTTTTCAGTCTCGTGTATGTATTGTGATCTTGTTGTGCTGAACTAACTGCCGATGCTATCTTCGGAAAGCACAGAGTTTCAGAATTTGTACATGGGATAATAATAATAATTAATAATCCTTGCATTTGAAAGAGCGCCTCAAAGACCTTCTCTGCAATCTTGCAACCAATCTTCTGGCAATGTAACTTTATAAGTGGTTATCCTCGCACACCTTGCCAGCACCTTTTGATTGATTTTTTCCCCCCCCTTCTCCCTCCACACCAGCCTGTTACTGAGGATTTCTTTTCCCAGACCAGGGTCAGTCAGTCAGTCAGTCAGTCAGCCTGGCTCAGTTAGTAATATTCTTGCCTCTGGGTCAGAAGGGTTTGGGTTCAAGCCCATGTTGGGAAGCCCAGAAGAAACACTCTATATTGCAACACTGGGGGAGTATCGCATTATCAAAGGTGCAGGGAAGAAATGAAAGAAGGCTTTTACTGTTTCTGAAGCTGCACTGCACCCCTCCTGGGGTCTGCTTGCAGAAGTGCATTCGAATGATCGTTTGGCCAATTGGGCTTTTGAACAATGATCCATCTTGAGAAGGTGACAACTGGCTGTCTATTCAGCTTAACCCATCTTCCCTCCAGTTGCCAAAATGAATGCACTTACTAACACGTTCCGCCACTCGTTCTCCCAGTTTGTTACTGTTATTACCTACAAACCTCGACAAATTGAATTAGTTGCCTGTGAGAGGCACTGGATCTGTTCAGACCCAGGCATGACCGACTCAACCAAGTGTCACAGGTTAATGCACTTTTTTTGTTTTGCCCAAGCCGGGTGTCTGACTCACACGGAAACCCATCACTGTTGCTTAACAGTCTCCAAACCAAGCTGAGATTACCATCCCACCTACACATGGAAACCCCAGAGACAGATTGTTGGAATGCGCTCTCTCTCTCTCTCTTCTCTCTCGCTCTCTCTCTCTCTCTCCCGGAGGGACACATCCTACTTACCAAATTCCGGAAAGTATTAGGCGCAGGTTGGCGAGAGCCAAGGCCTGGAGGTGGGGAGCTCATGGTACAGGAGGGAGAGCGATGCACATGTATTGTTATAACTAACATCTTACTATTAAGGCTCTGTGTTTTTTAATATATTTTGCACTTCCACTATTTTATGAACACACTTCTAGATTTATCATCTGCGTTTAAAATACACATCAAAAATATAACAGTGGCATGGGGGCATTGAACAGTAATTACACACTTAGTAAAATAAACAGTTGGCACTGTATATTGCAGTTTAATTTTGACAAGTGGGGCAGGACTGAGCAGGAAGAGTACTGTAGTATGCTGTAGCATAACCGACTGCCTAGTTTTGGCAGCGGGCGTTGTGAAGCTTTCCCTTCCCGGCCTCAGGAATTCTGGAAGATTGTTCTGGGAACCTGACCCACTCGTAAACTGTCCCATCACCTCCACATTTGCCAGCCAGTAATGTCAGTTAATACGAAGCTGGGCCCCAAAAATAAATAGTCTCGTCTTGCGTGTCTACGCGAAGCAAACTGACTGCGTTATTCGATCCACGGCTGTTTGTGGGGACGCTGCTGTGCGCAATTGGCTGCCGCGTTTCGCCCACAAAATACACAATCACTACACTTTACAGTCTACTCCGCGAGAGCTACGAGACGTCTTGATGAGGTGATCAGGCGCTGTATGAAACGCATGACTGATTATTATTGCTATGCGCAGTGTACAACGACGTTATCTAAAGCTGCTCCGCGGTGTGATCTGTTGTTACAGACGGTGTATAACCTGGCGGACTTGGCCTGCAAGTGCCACGGGGTGTCGGGCTCCTGCAGCCTGAAGACCTGCTGGTTGCAGTTGGCCGACTTCAGGAAGGTGGGCGACGGACTGAAGGAGAAGTACGACAGCGCAGCAGCCATGAAGCTGAACAGCCGCGGCAAACTGGTGCAGGTTAACAGCCGCTTCAACCCCCCCACCACCCTGGACCTGGTCTACATTGACCAGAGCCCAGACTACTGCGTGCGGAACGAGAGCACGGGCTCACTGGGCACCCAGAGCCGCCTGTGTAACAAGACCTCGGAGGGCATGGACGGCTGTGAGCTCATGTGCTGCGGCAGAGGCTACGACCAGTTCAAAATGCAACGCACAGAACGCTGTCACTGCAAGTTTCACTGGTGCTGCTACGTCAAGTGCAGGAAGTGCACCGAGGAGGTGGATCAGTTCGTCTGCAAATAACCCTCCTCCCCTCCTTCCCTCCCTCCCTCCCTCCTCCCATCCCCTCCTTCCCTCCAACCTGCGGAGAGAGAGAGAGAATAAACAATCTCCGAGCACTTGTAGCTGCAGAAGACGACAACATCAAACAGCATCATCCCTCTGTCCCTCTCTCTGTTCCCTCACTCGACCCCACTCTGAGGACACAAGTAAAGTGACAACGAGAAACAAACTGACTGTTGCTACGTACAAAAAATACTCTTCCCCCCCACTCCCCAATCCCCCCACCCCACCCAACACTCACACACACACACCTGAATTTGCCTTTTTTATATACACAATACACATATATATAAAAAAAATACTTGAGCTAAGTATTCGAAAGGATAATCGTACGGATTGATCAGAACCAAAAAAAAGAACCTTTACCGAAATGCAGACGGTGTATAACTAAGTATAAGAGAGCAATATGTAAATAAAAAAAAATCCATTCCATGATATTCACAGTGTGTGGATAGAGACGTACAGTCAAGGCTTCACACTGGCTAAAGAGAAACCCGACAGCTGGGGCTTTGATCCAAGGCAATTCTGATCGCTGTCCTATACGCAGGTCTACCAGCAATCTTAAACCGATGTTACAAGAGAACCATTGAGACAACACCAAAGGGTGTCAGTCGCCCAGTCACTCCATCTCCGCGGTAACCAGGTGCAGTCAGGAAACAGCGCGCATGTGGTTTGGACGAGAAAATTACTTGATTTCCCTATTTGAGGGAAAGGAGCTTCTACGAAGGCGCCCGGCGGGATGTTCTGGAACTGACTTGCTCTCTCCAAAGGGGAGGGCGAGAGAGTCACATCGCCCCACAAGTCTGGGACGGGGTGGGGGGGGTGTTGGGAGGGGGTGATTTTTTTTTGGAGAAAAAACCCCCAAAAGATTCTGTTTGGGAATTTGGTAGATCAGTGTCGCATTTCTGCAGTGTCCCTGAAACCACCCACATTCTCCACCCGGACAAACGACTCACAAGATCCAGAAAATCCCCACCTCCCCAATTCACGCCAATCATGACGGAGAAAAATAAATGTTTCTTAAGGTGTCGCTTTGATATTTAAAAAAGAAAGCATGGTTTAATTCATGGTTTGTCATGTATTTATTTTTGCTGAAAAAATATTGGCTGTGGTAGCAATCTGGTTCCCATTATTTAAACCCAAGGAATCTCTTCGAAGGTTGCAAGAGAACTTCAGCAAAGTTATGGACAATTAATGTAGAGCGATCATCGTTATTTGCAATATTTTTAGTTTCCAAAGTAATAGATATATACTGCAGGTCCAAAGCTATAAGACTTGCTGGGATGGTAAGCTATATATTACGGGCAAACTATGGTTTATTTGGTGTCTAATATTCCAAACGTTGTATATACATCTACAATCAGCGATTTTAAAATTGTATGTATTTATTTACAGGTTATATTTAGAGTAGGTTTGTCTACCTTTCTGCATTTTAACGGATTCGCTGTATTAATAGTCATCTTTAACACTTTCCAGAATGGGTTCCTTTTTTCAAATCCGTCTCGCTGTTACGTGAAGTGTCCGTTGCTCGGTGTTTGTCACGTATTAAATCCAAGGCCATTTTTGAGGGGGGGTGTTGGGGTTGGGGCTGGGGTTGGGTGGGGCCGGGAGGGATCAGTTCCATTGAAATGTTGCACTGACACAAGTTGTAAAAATTGTCACAAAAGGCACTTGTGCTTCTGTACTCTTCCCGTGTGAAAATAATAATGTGGCCACAGGATTCGGGTTCGGAATCTGTGCGTTTCTCCGGGACAGGTGCTTTGGTGCCCAAGTACACTGGGCAGCGCAGACCTGGGTACACACACAGCGATGTCGTCTCGGACTAGTGCCTTTATAACGTTGTAATGCATGAACGAACCACGACGGTTCGGTACAGTATACCACACGAGTTTCATTATCGGCAATGGATCCAATCCGTTTTACGTCTTGGGACATTTTCAAGTGAAAATTTTGTTCCATTATGTCGCAGAAATAGACATAATCCAGGTCAGTCCAGAAAATCGGTTAAAGTTGGATTTAACCGGGGATAACTTTGCTTGTATCCTCCTGAAGTGTATTGTGTTGTATAACTTTGGCGAATGGAACTGAACCTGGTCGGAGTTCAATAACGGAGTAACATTAAACCATGTACCACCCATTCCTAATGTTTAATGGCTATTTATAAGGACAGATCGTTTGATAACAAACATTTTCAAAATAAAACTGCTCTAGATTCAAACGTGTTTAATTGTTTACATGATGTTAAATGTCACTGTTCCAGAATGTGTTGATTTAAACTACTATTGATCTCGTGTATAAAGGTTGCACTGAGGCAGCAAGTCCAATTGCATTAGTGTATTTTTACACACACACTGGAATGGGGAAGTATCTCACTAATTTATTGCTAGGAATTTTCTCCATTGGGGATACCCCTAATTCCTAACTAACGCACTTCCAAAGCGTTCAAAAAAAGCCTGATGAAAATCACGTTAAGAAATCATTTGTCAATTAGAACACCCATTTTTTGTTATACATAATAATAAAAATAATCCTCGCATTGGATATAGCCCCTCATCACGCCTTTGAGACGTCTCAAAGCGCTTCATAGAATACACTGTAAAGTGAATTGACTGTATATTTTGTGGGTGAAACGCGGCAGCCGATTGCGCACAGCAGCGTCCCCACAAACAGCCGTGATTAAACGACCAAATTATTATTATTTTTGTAGTGATATTGGATTCATTGGAAGCTCACTCGTGTGGAGTTTTGTTACCAGAGAAATCTGAAGTTGATCTCTTTCCTGCCCTCGCCTCCCCCAATCACTCGCTCCCAAAGTTTTCCAAATTGGCATGTTTCTTGCCAGCAAAGTTGTGTGTGAGAGAGCCTCAGACAAACATGCAACCACCTCTTTGGCAATTGTAACTGATAATTTTAATGTAGGAAAAGAAAAATCTGATATCCCAAAGAATTTTTTGAAGTGGTCTTTGCTATGAAAACCGTGAAAACCTCACTTTAAATCTTGATTTGAGCTCCACGGAAAAGAGGTTCTGGCTCACTTACTCACTTACTAACTTACTCACTTACTAACTGACTAACTAGCCTAACTAACTAACTAGCCTAGCTAACTAACTAACTAACTTACTTGCAAAGTGCTGTTTGAGGCTGGAAATTCAACATGGTCTTTGCATTTCTGCTTAGTAACAGAACATAAACATATATATAGATATAAATAAATAAATATATATACATATATATTAATTTGGTCACTTAATCCCTGACTGTGGGACGCTGCTGTGTGCGATCGGCTGCCGCATTTCACCCACAAAATATAGTCAATTCATTTACAGTGTATCCTGTGAAGCGCCTTGAGACGTCATAAGGCGCTGTATCAACTGCAAGGATTATTATTAAACATGCAGCCTTGCTGGGGGGAAAAGGAGAGGGTTGCTTGAATAAACAAAAGTATTCCACAGGTTTTGAAATCATCTGTGCTATTGGGTTCGGAAGACAGTTTAGCACACAACCAGTACAACATTTGTTTATGTCAGCCTCTTGTCTGACATATGGGAAAACCCATCACCATGCTATAGAGTATCCAAACTAAACAAGAGTTCCACCCAAATATAGAACCCACACTTGGAAATCTCCCCACGTCCACCCCTGACTGAGCACTCGGACTCTCTCCCTGGAGGGACTTGCCCTGCTTACCTAACTCCACAGTAGAATATTAGGCACAGGTTGGCAAGAGCCAAGGCTTGGGGAGTCCAGAATGTGCTTTGGTACACTACTGGGTAACGATATGGCTAAATAATAATAGTCCTTGAATTTGACACTGGGTCTTCTCACACCTATGAGACGTCTCAAAGCGCTTCACAGAATTGACTGTGTATTTTGTGGACGAAACGCGGCAGCCAATTGCGCACAATTGCTAAATTATAAATAGAAGAAAAAAACTTAACAACAATTTACATAAATATTCAAAGTCTGTTCCCGATGAAAACTCCTCAACGAGCACAGAAATAAACATTTAGAAATGTCTGTGCTTAAACACTCTCGAAATCCTTTTCCAACACACTGTAACCTCCCGCTGTGAAACATAACAGTGCAAGTTTATGAAATACGCCAGTATGAAGTGTAGCCTTAATTAAAGTTTCCACCAGATTTATCTTATTCTGAAAAAGAAGCCAATTCGAGGGTAGAGAGATCACAATGAGAAATTGCCAATCCCAGTTTCCACTGTCTGATGACGGATTTCCAGATTTAGACGAACATCACAGTTTTTGCTATAATAAACTACAGCACGGAGAAGAGAAAAGTAAAGCATCCGGTTTCAGATTTCACCAGAATGGCTGAAAGATCTGTTTAACTCTTAATACGTATTTCCAGATAAATACTGAGGTAATCCAATCAATGTAGCAACTCATTTGCTCCCAAGTAAGAACTGCCAGGCTATTCTACTGTAAGAGGCATTGCAGTTGAACTCAATTGTGTTTTTCACCCCAAAACCAACACAATAATTATTGGATAGGGATTAGGTATGGAAACCCTGGATCCTTCCCCCAACCCCCACCCTCCCATCTCTCTCCCTCCCTCTCTCTCTCTCTATCCCAGACTGCTAAAGACAAACTGTATTGCTTTCTCCACGATCAGATCACAAAACACAAACCAGAGCACGATGATGGAATCTGACACCTTCCTGTTCACTACAGTTCAGTTTCATGCCTTGGCTTTACCAAGTGAGCAGCCAGAGAAGAGTCCATGTTGGTCAATAATTTAGTCGATTCATTTTACATTATGTTTCGCCCACAAAATATACAGTCAATTCACTTTACAGTATAGTCTGTGAAGCGCACTGAGTCAAATACAAGGATTATTATTATTACATTAGTGTTTTTATCATGATGGAAAAATGGAGGATAGTTTTTAATACTAGAGAATCTCAGAGAACTTAATTTGGACGAACAATTTGATGAAGACTCCTACTTTGCTTGGGTTGGAATGGTCGGCAATTAAATTAAGCATCAAACTGTAGATCAAGCATTAAATCCAGCGCCTTGGGACGTCTTCCTGACGTGAAAAATGCTATACAAATATAATTTGTTGCTGTTGTTGTAGATATCTTATTTTTCCAGTTATGCTACTACATGTTTAACAAGTCCGCTCATAGCACCACAGTGCCTCGGTTTAGAATTGCAGAGGCATTGCACCGGGTTAGAGCTTTCGAGGATGGAAAAGGACCAGATGTGCA